GCCTTCATTTCAGGATCATAGCCACAGACCCACAGTTCATCTCCAATTTTGACCATCTTGAGAAAATCTGGTTGATTAGCAGTTTGAATCAATCATTAGCAAGTGCAGCACAATATTCCTCCTGCTCAGGTAGCAGAGGCCACTGAAGGGATTTTCCCATGCTAAGATCCTGCATCAAATTCTAAGGCACAGGGGAGGAAGATGGCAGCAAGGTAGGAGGGAGCAGATTTCAGTTTTCCCTTCAGAAGGAATAAAAACCTACCTGATCTACAGTGGAACAGAGCAGCCAACAGTACCCCGCCATATATGAAAGTAGAAGACCAAAAATAGCAGCAGACGTTGAAGGAGCAGATGATTAGGAGAGTATTTCAGGACAATTAACGGCCTAGCGACCAGCTTGGGGACCAGGGCCACTGCAGCCCCAGGCACCATGCCCCTGGGTCTACCACAGGGTTCTTGGGAGAGAGCTGAGTTGGCCGCTCCCTCCCCAGGCAATTGAGGTTTGAGAAGCACTGGAGGCCACCTAGTTGCTTGAAGTTGCAGAGAGGGGAATAAGGACTAAGAGGCCAACATACAGGGGCTGTGAACACCCACAGAGTCTGTGGATGCCCGCTGGGGAGAGTTGAGAGTTAGGCCTTAACAGGTCCTGATCCAGATAGTCCCCAGTCTGGCTAGAGAATTGGGCTGTGCTAGAGGCCAGGCTGCTGTATGGCACAGCAGGCTTGAGTAGGAAGAATTTCTCAAAAAGCAAAAGTGAAAAAAGAGACACTGTTTGGGGAATTCTCCTGCAAAAGTTGCTCCAGCCTCCTCCCCACCCAGCTGGGCAGTGTGGAAGCCTGTTCCTGTGTTCCTGTAGCCCTGGGAAGAGTGTGTGCAGGAACTTGTGGGACTGTAGGCTAGCTTGCCAAGCGCTCTTGCCAGAAAACTGGGGAGAGTGAATCATGCAGAGGAGCCCAGGAGCCCACACTTGTAACTCTGGGGAGAGTGTGCTCTGAGGAAGGCCTGGATCCTACACCAAAAGCCCAGGGAAAGGCCCCAGGCTAGCCCTGGGGAGAGTGCATGGGAGACTGACTCAGTGCTGATCAGGATGGGAGAAAGACAAATACCATATGACCTCACCTTTAACAGGAACCTAAACAGCAAAACAAACAATTAAGCAAAATATCACCAAACACACTGAAATAGAGAATAAGCTGACAGTGACCACAGGGGAGAGGGGAGGGAATTTCAGGGGAAAAGGGGAAGAGTGTACAAGAAAAAGTATAAAGGACACTGGGACAAAAACTAAGGTGGGTGCAAATGGCAGAGAGGTGGGGAGGGTTTGGGTGATGGGCTGGGATGGGAGTAAAAGACAGAAAACTGTACTTGAAGAACAATTAAAATAAAAAAAAATCTAAGACACAATAGTTTTTGGAATCCCCAGATCAGCTGCTAGTTCTTGCATTGTCAGTCCCCCATCTTTGTTGATTGCAGACCTTACATGCTCAACATTCCCAGGTGTTTTGTTGGCTGAAGACCTTCCAGGACATGGGTTACTTTTAGCAGATTCTTGACCATCTTTGAAACATTTCTGCCACACTTTATTGCTTGCTCTTCACTCATTGCATCATCTTTGAAAGCTTTCTGAATCATCCAAGTAGTTTCCATGGAGGAATATTTAAGCTTATCACAAAATTTGGTGCAGGTTCATTGCTCTATGCTTCCTCAGTCATTCTGAATGTGACAGCCACACAGTACACATGCTCAGTCAGTGGCATCTACAGCCCCCACTGAATAGTACAGTTCAGTTGTCATTGTTCATACATGTGCATTCCAGTCCACTCTCCTTGGGTGCCATGTTACAACAGTGTCATGCAAACCATTCTCATTACATTAGCAATAACTGGACATTTTTCAGACAGATCTCTTCATATACAAGTATGGGCACCTGATATTTTAAAAAAGTCACATTGAAGCAAAAAGAGTAGGTAATAGTATTATTATTTTTCATAAGTCAATCAAAATTATACCCATGTTTTTTCACATCAGCCAAAAATACTTTTTGAGTGTGCCACATAGTTTTAGTAATTAGATAATTGTGCCATGATATGTGAATTGTTGAAAATTGCTGGTCTGATGACACAGACAGCTACTATATGATTAGTAGTTGGGTAACACAAACACTGTGAATACCCTGTGTATTCTTTATTTCTTTAAATTCTTACTCTATGAGAAGGTGGGTGTTAGCTAATCCTATTGTGATAATCATTTTGTAATATATGCAAATCAAATATTATGCAGTAAATTTTTTGTTCTTTTGATGCTCATGTGTCATTTAAATTGTCTTTCAGAGGTCTTCTTTTTCTAACCTTCCCATTTTTTTAATAAGGCAAAAACAATTAAATTACCTTTGTTTTCACCATACATAGTTAGATTTGTGCTTTTGTCACTTTAAACAAATATTCCAATTAAATTACAGACAATTAGTAGTGATTAGGGAATGAATCAACAAAAATGTAATTAGTAGTTACATAACAATTCAATCTCTGTCATAGTGATACAGTTCAATATTGTTTAATGTTTTATTTTCCACAGAGATATTATCTTTATCAAGGGAAATCTAAGTAACAGTTAATAACAATAAAATGAATGAAGGAATTTTAAGAACTAAGGCAAGAAATTGAGAAAAAAGCATGGGATTAGTGATTGAGGTATTTACCATAAAAGTGAAAATGTAGTGATTTTTCAGAATAATGCTAACAAGTATCATCAAATATCTATTGTTTATGGAATTATAATTTTAAAATTGTTTCCATTGCAATAGAAATGTCATAATGAGAATATAAGGAAGAGAAATATGTGAAGCCAAAATTAAATAAACCTATCTAGGCATAGAGTTTACACATACAAGATATTCTTAACAAGGCCTAAGAGTTCAGAGTCTGTGATGAAGATGGAAATAAGTTCACAGCATGGGTGGTCCAGTCTTTGTCTCCTAATACCTTTCAGATTAAGAAAACAATTTCCAGATACATTTGCCAAAAAACAACCTGAATGAACACTAACAGCCCAAAGACTCCTAGATTCTGGAGGTGTGTGATGAGATACACAGTCTTCACAAATAGCCAAAGTGTAAGAATTTCCTGTTCAAACTTTAAGTGACACATTAATAAGAAATCTACATTTTCCACTCATGCCTCACTCTGAGCCTTCACGGTTCAGACTGTGAAGACCACAGAGATTGTTTGTCTACAAGACTAAGCTGGTCTCTCACTAAAGGATGCAGGACTTTCTGGCTTCCAGAGGTATGTGTGTGTCTCTCCTCTCCTGTCTCTGTCTTAGCCCATCTCATGCAGGGGGAGATTACAACATAAGATGTGATATCAGTGAGGTATGATTAATATACAATCAAAATCCAAAGAGAAATATTGGTGTTTTATAAAATAAATTAGAGTAAAAAGTCAAGAAAAAAATATGAAATATGTTGGAGGATATCATGAACTATTCAAATAGTGGACAATTACTCAAGTATAAATACACAAGAATAATTGAGTGTGTTAATCAAAATAATTTAAAGTAAAAATCCTGTAAGAATTATGTAAAGGAATAGCTATTTTTTGATTTTATAATGAATATACATATAATTATATATTATTTTAAATTTATCCCAGCCTCTAAAAAGACATTTTTAAAGTAAATTATATTAATTACAGAGGTCAAACATAATATTTTATGAACTTAATTAGATTAAATAAATGCATTTGGTTTTCAATAAATATCAGGATGAAGTACTCTCATAAAATTCTAATTGAAGTTTAATAATAAACCATGAGAATACTTTTTAAAAATTGAGCAACCATTGCTGGGAAATATACCACACTGATGGACACTTTGCCTAATGAATTAACCTGCAGCATTCAATTGGCATGAATCAGAAAATAACATAAAAATTGTGTTCAACTTATATTAGGATAACTAAAATATTTTGGAGAGCTTAAAAAAGTTGAAATATTAAAGTGTTTTACATGTATTATGTATACATGTTTTTATTCCCACTTTATATTAGTAAACTATGTTGCTAGACACTAAGTAGCTTTGTAAAGGTCATACATTGCCAATTTCAAAGCCAGAATTAATTCTGAAACTCACTGGCCACAGAGCCCATTGACTGAATTATTAAATTACACCATCTGATTCATTACTGTGGCTCCCACAACTGAAGGTGCCCTGAGTTTAACATGCATGGGAACTGTCTGGAAGTTTGAAACAACAGTGTTCTAATATAAATGATCTACACATTTATTTTACATTTTATATTTTTATATCTGTGCCCTTAACTTAGTTGCTAATTTCTTGTGTAACATAAGTGTTTAAAAAATTTCACTTTGTTGTCAATATGTTTAGGTCTTGAGTAAGCTTAGCGTGACAAAGACTTTTTATCATGTGAAACATTTTTATTCATAAATAGAAGATTATTTGATAACAACTCATTGTCTTTAATGAATAAATGTATGTCACTAAATAAAAATTTAGTTAATACAATTACTAGATATGCCAACATGATTAGTGACCCATCTTAAGGACACTCAGTCTTTAGTCATTATTCAACTTCCCATTTATCATAAATATTGTATCTCTTTTTTGTAATATTGCATTTTATTTTTCATACTAGAATTCTAATGGTGTTAAAATATTTCTGTGGAATTGAACACTAAATAAACAAGGATGTTATTTATGAAATTAATTTATTCATCACTAACATATTGCTTTTTATTGCTCAAACAAATAATATATTGTGAAATATAGAATATCTTAAATATTGTATCTACCTTGAGGCACTTGTTTAAAGATCTAAGAAATCTGTCAGCACAGCATTAGATTCTTCAACTGGAAAATGAGCCCGATACTCACCCCATACCCCGCCCAATGTCACTGTGAGGGATCTCTTCAGTGAGTGTGTCACTTATTCGTAAGCACACATGTTGTAGAGGACAGTCTCTGCCAGCAGCTCAGCTGCAGAGATGAGTGACCAAAGAGTAACCTACACAGAACTGAATCAGGTTAAGGATGCAAAGAGACAGCACATGAAACCTAAGGGCACTAAAGACTCCATTCCAGGAACTGAGCAGGAACTAACCTATGCAGAATTAAATCTTCAAAATGCTTCTCAGAGTCTTCGAGGGAGTGACAAGAATGACCACTGCAGAGGTAACACATTCAGCAGACACAGTGTAACTGTTCTAGGATGTGCAGCTGGGTGCAGACGTGTGGGAAAGAGAAGGGGATAAGCTCACATATTTTTTTCATCTTAAGGATCAGGACTTGAAGTTGGAAGGTGGTATTCTCAGATGGAAGCTGAGGACTAATTTTATTCAGACATTGTTGTAAGTTGTAGTCTTTGACCAGAAACTCATAGAGCATTATATATAGTGAAAATGCACTGGTACATTCTGAGAGGTAGATTACAGTGGTAGATATGGGTTTGGGGTCCAAGTTCATGTACATGATTCTCTGTGTGTGAACTATCCACACAATTGTCTCCATCCCTCCTTTCTCAGTGTTTCCATTTCCCTCCCTGCAGCATCTCTATCACCTCCAGAGAAGCTCATTGCTGGGATCCTAGGGTTCATCTGCCTTGTCCTGATGTGCACTGTGGTAATGGCTGTTATACACTGTAAGTAAATATTAGTAAGATTATATAAAAATCTTCACTTTTATGTTCATCAGTGCCTCCAAACACTTCATATTATGACAGGATAGAACTCTCATTTTAAAGTATGCCTTTAGACTAAGTGAAAAGTTGTTATTCTGAATTTCTCCAAGGTATAAATAACTGCATTATTTAGAAAAGTAGTGTATTTAAGTCCTCTGCACATTTTCTAATTGGTTTGTGTGTTTCCTGGAGTGGAGTCATGTGAGTTCTTTATATACTTTGGAGATCAAACCTTTGTCCAAGATAACATTGGCAAATATATTTTTCCCAAATGTTCATAGCAATACAATTTACAATAGCCAAGTTTTGGAACTAACCTAAGGCCACCAGTAAATGAGTGGATAAAGAAACTGTGGTACATTCACATGATGGAATACTATGCAGCAGAGAGAAAAAATTAGCCCCTACCTTTTGTGACAGCATGGATGAAACTGCAGAGCATTATGCTAAGTGAAATAAGCCAGGTTTTCAAAGACAAATACCATATGATCTCATCTATAAGCGGATCTAATGGATAAAACAAACAAGCAAGTAAAATATAACCAGAAACACTGAATTGAAGAACAACCTGACAGTAACCAGAGGAGAGAGAGGAGAGGGATAATGGGGGAGAATAGGGGAAGGCCATCAAGGAACATGTATAAATGACACATAGACAAAGCCAAAGGGGGTAAGTTTGAGGATGGGAGGTGGAATGGTTGGGCGAGGGGCCTAGGTGGGGTGAAAATGGAGACAATTGTATTTGAACAACAGTAAATAAATAAATAATAAATAAAAACTTCAAAAAAGTAGTTTATATATATACTTATATATCCCATATATCCATAGATATTCTTTGGTATAATTCAAGGCATGCTTTAGGACACCTCATTGAGAAATACAAATAAATTCTTCATATTGATTAATCTAAATAGTGTAAGAGTTGGTGAAGTTTGCTTCTCAAGGCTTTTGAAATATTTCCTCCCAAATTCTCATAGTTTTATTAATTTTTCTTGGGAAGATCAATTTTATTCCAGGCCATTATAATCCTGGACAATATACCACATTTCAAAGTAAAAAACAAAACTATTATGATTTCTGTAGGTCACTATTACTTTTTTATAATAATTACTTCTTTTTCTAGCTAATGTAATACTGGTGTAGAACAATTATTCTTTCTTGTACATAATATAAATTATATATTATTTTAACAGCAAGGCAGACAAGGAATGAGACAGGGAACCAATCAACAGGGAAACAGAAAGGTACCTAATTATTTTCTATGTTCCAATATCAATACATACAGCTACTACCTTGTCTCTAACACAGTCAAAATTTATAGGTTTTATTTTTTTTGGAGGGGGGAACAAACTATAATACCAGGTATAAATGTACATAAATAATGAATATAGAAGATTATATTTCTTATGTAAAAATATGAATAAATATTCGTTTAATTTATCATACTCATTGTTGCCAATTGGTTCAAAGATAATTTTGGTCTTTAAAAATACTGTTTCTTTCTTTGACATTCAGCACATACAGAAAGTGGATATTTTTGTTTGTGTGTTTGCTTACTATGGGCCTTTAAATGAGGGAATGAGGGGCTGACCCTTCTCTGCAAATGTGTATGAGTGTGTATGAGAGTATTATGATTTATATATGCCAGTCTGTAAAGGTATGCATATATACTGTGCACTAATTTGTCTATACCTGTGCAAATACAGAAATTAATTTTCATTTTACAATTCATATCGTTCTTTGATGACAATACATAATCTTTCTTCAGCATACCATTGTGGTCGATGTCCACCAGAGTGGTTAATGTATTCCAACAACTGCTATTACATATTCACTAAAGTAAAAACATGGAATGAGAGTTTGATGGCCTGTGCTTCTTGGAACTCTAGCCTGCTCTATATAGATAATGAAGAAGAAATGGTAAGATTTTTAATATTTCCAACATTATATTTAAAAGAGTATTTTATTTTATATTTCTATAGAATGCATTTATATTTTGCATATATCTGTAATTTATTATAAAGATTGTTAACATTTTATTGTTTAATTCTATAATATTTGATTTATATTTTATGCCATTAATGAACATTTGATAATTTTCAGTTCTTGATTTTCAAGGACAGTCATGCTTCTATAAATGCTTTTTTTCCTAAAGTAAACTTTGCTACTTCATTGTACCATGCATCATGGAGACTATAGATGTGATTGTGCGTGTTACAGACTGAAATTGGTCATGAAGTAGGTGTTGCCAGCCCGCTCCTGTGCACTCTCTCATGACTTCTCCTCTCTCCTCACTCAAACACTGTTCTGAGATTTTATATCACAAATTATCCTTCTTAATTTTGAATTTTATGTAATGGGAATCATTCATTATGTATTTTACATGCCCCTGTTAACTCCCACATAATAGTTTTTCAATTAACCCATATTATTTAATTATCTGAAGTTTGTTAATTCTCACTGCTCCATTGTATATATCACTCATTCTTTAACCTATTCTGCTCAGAATAGAGATTTTTAATGTGTGGTTGCTATGAATGAATATTTAATAAAAATCTTTGTGTATGTCTTTTTCCAAATATGGCATATTTAAAATAATTTATGCACAATATTCATATAATATATAAATTGATATACTATAAATGTTATGTTTATAATAGCATAGTAATAATTTATAAATATAGTTTTTCTAATGGTGTATGTGTGTAGTTAAAATGTATTGCCTTTTTGCATTAGAATGAAATTGCTGGGTCAAAAATACATGTGTACGTAAATTATCCCTGCACTGTCTAGTTGGTTATATAAACACACATCATATACAATAGTTTCATGATTCAAAGCTTAGTACTTTCAGAAATTTTAATGCCATCAGCTCTGATCATTCTGTAAACGCATCATTATCACTTTAATGGGTATTTTTCTCATAGTGATCAATTGAACACATGTCTCAGAGTACCATTCATGATGAATTTCTGTACTGTGAGAATGAGAAGTGCCCATTCAGGTCTCTTGGTCATTTCTCCTGTATGTTACTTATTATTTTCATTTTTAGAAGTAATTATATTTTGGATATGACTCTTTTTTGAACTTGTGAGATACAAATGTCTTTCTTGAGTGTTAATTACATTTTTCCATCTCATATTGGAGTGTTTTTGTGACCAGGATTTATTAACGCTACCATCGTCCAATATCTTGTTTGGATGTTGGTGATTATTTTGGACATGTTTCACAAGTTAGTCCAAGTTCATGGAAATAATCTACTGCATTACTCTTTATGGTTTATCTTTTTTCTTTATTGAGGGACTTTTAGTTTTCAGTTTATAATACTTTGAGAATGTATATTTTTGTGATGCTGTGTTTGTGATGCTGTTTGGTAGAGGTCAAGTTCACACTTTTCTGCATCATTACCTAGTTGTTGCAGTATAATTTAGATCAGATGATCTTTTCTACATAAACAACTTTATGTATGTGGGTCAATATATTTTAATATAAAATTTAAGAAGATGATCATTCTTTGTGTCTGAAAAATTGTTTTTCTGTCTTCTTTTGTCTTTCTTTTTGTTCATGGGCAACAATTACACATAAGTAATTTTTACTGATAAAGTTGTATAAAGGTCTTCGAGGTTCCATTAGTTTTTCTATCTCTTTCTCTCTACCTTCAGGAATTAATTATTTCTGTCACTCCATCAGTATTTCATCAATTCTCTCTTCTACATTTCAACATTTATGTAAATGTATTGAGTTTTGTAATGTAGATAATGATTTTCCAACTGATAATTTTGATTCATTGACATAGTTTTTATTTCCCTATTATTCTGTCACTGCCATCTTATTTGCATAGAGATACTGGAACATAATTTTTAAAATACATTTTAGGTATATATATATTTATACTAACTGGTATTAAATATTTGTATTGAAAATCCAACATCTTATCCCAGTGAAAGTTATTTTGTATGGCTGATTTATCCCCCCGAGTATGGAAGATACTTTTTAGTTTCGTTGCATGGTTTTAAAATTTGGGTAAGTCCACATTTTCAATAACATAGTATAATAAATATGGATCCTCCTACATTCTTACTAGATTTATACTTTTGTAACTTCAGTAAACTACTACTGTAGGATCATCTCTTTTGAGTGCACTTACTCAATTTTTAAAATTCTTGTGATTACTTTATTTTTAGGATTCATTACTGGGATTCCCCTTGGGTCTGCATAGCTTACTTGACAACCAATGATTTTTAAAAATTTATTCAAATACTTCAACTCAGTATGGCTCCACCCTCTGCTACGTGATGTACATGTGTGTTTGTGTGTGTTTGTAAGGGAGTACTCACAATTTTAAAATCAGTTCTCCAATCAACTTTGGCTTATTTTTTTTACCAGATTTTCTTTGTTTCTTCTACACAGTGCAAATATTTTTCTCACCAACCAAGTAGGTATAGAGTGTCAATATCTTCTCTTGTACTGTGCTCTCATATTGAGTACCTTCTTGTTTATAGCTGGCACTGTGCTGACACAGACCTGAAAAAGGGTGATCATCTTCACTTTTAATCTACTGAGTAAAGCACTTTCACCTGAAAAAGAAGTAGGCAGTTTAACCACCACTTCCAAAGTAATCAGACTTCCCCTGTGGGGACGCCAGTGATGTTTCAGCATTCCCCAAACAGTAAGAATTACACTTCTTACTCATGAACTGAGGTGGGGATTGGGGGAGACATGGGGCAGTCTTAGACATGAAGACTACAAATTTGCTCTATTTTTACTGGAATCTCTACCTGCTTTTTCCCATAATAAATACTTACATTATTTTTACTGATCAAATTTCAGAGGTGTAGAAAAGCAATGGCTGCTCTTCAGCTAATTACACTAATACATTTTCTTAATGTATCCATATGTAAAACTGTATTATAAATTGAATCACTCTAACCTAGAAAAAATTAACTGTATTTCATTTTTCATTTTTGAAATCATCTTTATTTAGGTTGCAAATATACAATTTAGGTACTTAATATTTTATTTGATTGCATTTGAAGTCCCACAGCTTGCTATATACAACATTGCCTTTTTCAAGCTGCTATATAAGAACACTATAAAATACAAACTATAACCTATACAATTCTCTTTCCATATTATGATTAGAATGTTAAAACAACATTGATATAGGCCGAGTCCTGGTAGGTCTACTGATTAGAGCATCATCTGAATACATGCAGGGTGCAGGATGATGCCCCATCACGCACACACAAGAAGCTCCCAAAGAATGCCAAACTGAGTGGACCGACTAACTGATTGCTCTCTCTCTCTCTTTCATCAATAAAAATAAAGTAATGAATAAAATGAATAATAACATTGATTTTAAAAGGAAAGTGAATTAATTGTCATACATCTATTTTTTAATGAAAAATGGTGAAAAATGGTTACCTATGTATGAAAATTAAGAGTAGCTTAATAGCTTATACATTTTGAAACTTTTATCAAAAAGTTCTTTTGTAAATTGCCACTTATAAAACCAGTTACGACAATGCAAAGCACAACATGGAGAATATAGTCAAGAATATTCAAAAAAATGTGCATGGTGTCAGATGGGCCCCAGATCCATTGGGGTGGTCATCTCTCAAGGTATACACAGGTTCAAAACAATATTGAATGTGAACAATAAAGAAAAAACAATTTTTAAAAGTTGCTTTTCAAAATAAGTTCTCTGAAAATATCATTTCACATTTTTTCTATGGCCAATTTATTAGTATCTAAAATCATTGTCAATGTTTAATATTAACAAAACCTTCATTCAAATTCTCAATATACAAATAAAAGCCAGAGACAAAAGAATGAAAACATAGTTATTTAAAATATAAAGGTTGCCTGACTGGTGTGGCTCAGTGGGTTGGACATTGTTCCATAAAGGGAAATGTCACTGGTTTGATTCCTAGTCAGGGCATGTGCCTGTGTTGCTGCAGGATCAGTCTAGGATCCAGCATAGGAGAGGCAACCTATCCATGATTCCCTTTCTTTCATCCTCTCTTCCTCTCTCTGTAAAAATAAATAAATTGAAACTTTAATAAATAAATAAAATAAAATATAAAGGTTTAGACTTTTGTTTATTCTCCCATGACAGCACAGTTGTAGATTTGTAGTTTTCTTAAAAGTCTCTTGCATCTCACAAACACGCAGGGTTCTCCTTCTGATATTCTGCCGCCCTTGATGGTTGCTGGGTGGCTTCTTGCACATGCACCTCTGCATTTTCAACTTGGCTTCTAATGTGATCCCACCTCTTTTTTCATGAATTATCATTCCCAGATCTTTAAAAAGTTTATCAATATCCATAATATCAGCTTCAAGTTGCATAAGAGAAGACTCTTTCATAAATAAGGTGGAAATCATCCTTTGTAATTCCCTCATCCTGCACTTGACCTTGAGGGTGAGTTGTGCTTTTCCAGAACACAAGATTCCCTTCTTTTGAGCTCTCCTCAGGAGTTCCACCAGATGGTCTGTCTCAGGCTCCCCACTAATTCCAAACACTCCCTCTCTTTCTCAGCTGCTCACCTTTGGAGAGCTGGCCAGTGATGTTGTGAATTCAGCCACTAAGAAATAACTTGTATTTTCCTTTCACACTGTTCACTGAGGGTGGCAGGAGGAGATACAGACAGTTTCATGGACTTACCTGTTTCTTCAGCCAGTTGTTTAGAATATTTTTGGTTCTGCTGCAGCTGTTGCCTCAAATCAGGTGATTGTTGAGGTGTTCCACATTGATTCAGAGTCCTTAATATATCCACACAAGATCACGTGATCTTCTGGATGTTGGATATGCTAGACCAGCTGGGTGGGGTGACCAAGAATTCCTGGATCTCAGGACATGGTTGATTGCTTATTCACTAATGTCATCAGATGTTGGTGGGCTCTGCAGTTTACTTAGCTGTCACCTCCCACTCTATCTGTGAGCCTCTATAAATGATTTTACAAATACAAATTAATTTTACCTAATTTCTCATAAAAAATTTTTTCTCATAGAATTTTTTGAACATTTTCAAAATGCATTCATGGACTGGACTGTCCCACAGAAATAATACTAATTTTTCAGTGTGGACAATTGGCACAACTCTCTCTTCTGAACTGTAAGTTCCTTTAGAGCTAATATATATTATTCCTTCATGCTTTCAAATCAGGAATTAATCTTAGAAACAAAAGGCAATGGATAGACAAATCTGTGAAGATATATTTAAGTGTTTTTTAGAACAATTTTAAGAAATATTCAGATTTACTGTGTAAATATTACTGTAAATATTTGTTTAATTAAAAATTAAGGTATATATCTTCATATTAATGATTTATTATCTCTGCATTTCAGATTTGCAAAAACATCAGAGTTGGACAAGAATTGTGTATATTGGAATTATGACACACGCAACTTCTATTCTGAATCTTGTCTAGAAAAGAGAAGATATATTTGTAAGCACCAGTCACATTAGCTCACCTAAATTTGGTTTAATGTTACTGTCATCATCCCTAAAGAACACATTTCTAGTTTCTTCAAGAATGCTGCAATGATTTTTGTAAAACTAAGTTTTTAGAATTATTTTGAGATCAGTTTTAGTTCCACCACAAAAATAAAAGGAAGGTATTGACATTTCCCATGTTCCCCTGCATGCAGAGCATCCCCTTTATCAGCATCACTCAGCAGAGTGGGATGTTTGTTACTGAGAGTGAGTCTGTGCTGACACACTTAGTCAATTAAATTCCATACTTTACCTGAAGCTTCATCCTTGATATTATAGATTTTTTTAAATATCTATATGTTCATCTTTAAAAATATATATCCAGGTGCATATTAAAATTTTAAATATTTTATTAATTTAAATACATCAAATATAAATTATGGATTGTAATACCAAGCACTGTTAGTTCTAATTCTAAAATAACATGAATTGTAGATGCATCTTCAATATAATTTTCTCCAGCCTTTGAATGTTGAATATGAGGACTGAACATATCAGGATAACAAGGTGTGTAAGGCAGTTGAGTCAGGAGAGAGAAACCAGGGATGATATAAAGAACTATTAAGTATTTTAGAGGGATAGCCTGCAGAGAGGGGTAGATGAAAATTGCAAAATGTACCAAAGGTTTAATCAAAGAAGATTACCACAAGGAAAAATCATATATGACCCAAGGCTATCTCCTCAGCAATGGGTTTAGACTCATGTCACTACAGAGAACTCTATGGCAGACAGGTTCACTGGATGGCTTAGGAGAGAGCAGTTCCCGGTCTGCAGGAAGATGTGGGTGAGGATGAATCTCACAGTGTGACTGGCAACTAGGATGACCTCTCTGACAAAGTATCAGCATTCTAGGCTGGAGTAAGAGAGTTATGGCTGTGAGTAGTCACAGAAACTTGCTGGAGGGTGACTACCACAAGAACTTCCTGCATGCCTGCAGATGTCAGCCACAGCACTGGAACCAATGAGAGAAAATGCCATTAAACCAGAAAGAGGAGTCCTTTCTCCCAGTGCCCTTTCCTAATAAAATGTCAAGTGAGCTGACTGGAGAAGTGGTTGTAGGAACTGCTGCTGTTATCTCAGAAAGAACAATATTTATAGATTAGAGCAGAAAACTAAATTTCTAATTGGCATTCCTTGTTACTATGCAATGACCCCATAGTTTCTATAGACATGTGCTCTATAGAGTATATAGATATATACTCTACTTGCTAGGACAACAGAACCAACACAAATATCTTCTGAATCTATTTACTGCATCGTTATTAATGATTGTAGGGATTTTTTGGTAGAGACTGGTAGTTTCATTGGGCAATAATTTGTGTCCTTTGACATCTCTTATATACCTCTTTTTTTCCTCTACTGGATTTTAGTTATTTTTGAAGGTACCCTGTTTTATTAAATTATTTGTCTTTCCCTTTTGACATTATTAATTACTATGCTTAGGAACCTACATTGATAGAAAAAATACAATGTTAAAAATAAAAATAAGAATGTAAAAGTGAAAAAATAACATTTCCATGTGAATTAAACATTAGTTATTGACAGAATGTGGGAAGTAAATTATTAAGTTGACATCATTAAGTAGTAGTTTTACTATAATTCAATTAGAAATGGGAGAGATCCTGTATTTGTTTATCATGTACAAAATGAATTAGTAATTCCTATATATTCATCTATTTAAATGTATCGTCTTTATGTTCTCTGTATTTATTCATCGTGTTCATATATATATGATATGTGAC